CGCCAACTCTGCGACAAACACGGAGGCATCCCGCTGCTGAACATCGCCGGGAAATCTTTGCCAACATTCTCCTCAACCGTCTTAATAATCACCTAGAACAGGGCCTCTTGCCGGAAAGCCAGTGAGGCTTTCACCGTCATTGTGGAAGCACGGACATGCTCTTCGTCGACCGTCAACTGCAGGAGGAGTGTCAGGAGATGCGGATCCACCTGTACTCTACTTTTGTGGATTCGACGAAAGCCTTCGACACGTTGAATCGTGAAGGATTGTGGAAAATTATGCGGAAATTCGGCCGTCCCGATCGATTCACTCAGATGGTGCGTCAGCTCCACGGTAGCATGCTTGCGCGAGTCACGGACAAAGGAGCTGTCTCAGTGGCATTCGGTCTGGTCATCAACACGCAGAAGACAGTGGTCATGCACTTACCACCACCCAACACAGCCCTCCTCATGCCGCGCCGCAAATCATCGTGAACGGAACCCAAATGCAAGTGGTGGAGAACTTCCTGTACCTGAGCAGCATCCTCTCCCGCAGCACGAAAATCGACGATGAAGTGGCCCGCCGGATTTCGAAGGCCAGTCCAGCCTTCGATGGCCTTCAAAGCACAGTCTGGAATCGTCACGGTCTCCAGCTCAGCACATAGCTTAAGATGTACAAGGCCGTCATCCCCCCGACGCTGTTGTACGGAGCAGAGACCTGGACGGTGTACAGGAAGCAGGCATGCCGACTCAACTACTTCCACCTCACTTGTCTTCGTTGCATCCCGAAGCCGACGTGGCGGTATCGAATCCCGGACACCGATGTACTGGAACGGACAAAAATCCTCAGCATCTGCACTATGTTGAGACAACTGCAGCTGCGTTGGAGCAGCCATCTCGCAGGGATGGACGATGCGCGGTTACCCAAACGACTCTTCTATGGAGATGTCGTCACGGGTTCCCGCCGGCAGGGAGGTCTTCCTGAAGCGCCTGCAAATCGACCCGGTCAACTGGGAAGACCTCGTTCGAGACCGATCGACCTGGAGGAGGATAGTGCAGACAGGCGCTGCGATCTACGGAGGCAGCCGCATCGCCGTCGTCAAAGCCAAAAGCGATGCACGCAAATTACGCCTGTGCGCACCTCATAATGCCAACGTACAACCGCCTCGAACGTGTCCGCGGTGTCAATGGACATTCCGGGCAAGAATTGGACTTGGTGGACACTTACGAATCAACTGCCCCACCCGGACCGCACCAAACGTCGTCCCTCCATCCTCCTCTTCCTTATCCTCCACGCCGCCAACTAACTGTGACCGCTCTTCTGAACCACCACTCCCATCCTCCACTTCTCCCACCTTCTGGTCCTCCTCCTCCACCTACTCATTTTCCTCGTCCTCCTCCGCTGCTTCAAAGCCTGCCGTTGTGGCGCCGGCCACGCACATCAACACTGAACACAATCCGGACACATCCTCAAACATCAACAACACCATTTTCTGCACCAGATGTGGGGACCAGGATTACACCTACCCTCACTGTGACCGCACCTTCACCCCACACATCGGCCTGATCGGTCACTTGCGAATCCATCGTACAAAGACTGGCGAACCAGTACCTGATGGGCCAGCCTAAACCCTCCTCATCCGCCTCCATTGTCACACTGCCCTCGCACATTCATGCACCGCATGGGCCTATTCGATCACATGCGCATCCACGAAAACCTCAGGTAGACAACCGCTGGCTGCGCCAAGTCCTCCCTCATCGCCACCCCACCGCTCATAAACATCACCCACCGAAAGCACCAAGATGTCACCTCCCACGCGAGTGGACAATGTGCTTCTCGATTCGGTCTCCATGCGGCTCCTGTTGCATGGGTGACTCGAGCCTGAGACTACCCAGACGCTTCAAGAGTCGTGGATAGGAAGGCTGCTGATTGACTCCCCAACCCAGTCGACACAGTCCGTCCAGTTGTGTGTGTGTTGTGTGAAGAGGCGGCCTGGTGGGCTGGGGGCCGATCCGATACAGACCCTTCCCCGACACTCACGCATGCAAGAGATACGCCTCTCAACCCCCGTTGTGTGAAATCCTGGCGTTTCTGTTTGGGGGGGGGGGGGCAGGTCGTGCATGTGGCGTGTGCAAACAAGGTCATCAGACCATGTCAGCCACAGCGCCCATTCCCCGCTGCAGCCAGCTGACCGGCTCGGACAGGGGCTGAGGTGTGGGAATGGGAAGGGAGAGTGAGGTCGACGACTCAGCGCATTCTCCTCACTATAAACAATCTGACGCGCTTGAAGTTATCACGGTGCGCTAAAAACCGTGGCTTAGAAGGTTACCAACTGATGGGATAACTTGGACCTCACAGTTGGCCCAGTGTTGTGTGTTTGAGTGGAGTGGTCAGTTGGTGGTCTGAGAGTCAGGGTGCAATGGTTCCTTCTTAATGTGGCCTCTGTGGCACTCCCACTGTGTGGGATCCGAGCCGGGCGTTGGCGGCACACTTAGCTGCGGCTTCGGTTGTGCCAGCCTCCAATCCCTGTTGTTCTTGGTCAAAAATCTGGTTATTTGTTGTGTGAAACAGGGGGTGTGGTGTGGAACGCTAAGGTGCGGACTCGACCGTGGCATCCACCCGCGCCCTCCCCCGCCTCCGGTCTTCTTGACTCGATCTTGACACCGGGTCTAGGTGGGGAAGGAGGGGGAGGAGGAGGAGGAGGAGGAGAAGAAGAAGAAGAAGAAGAAGAAGAAGAAGAAGAAGAAGAAGAAGAAGAAGAAGAAGAAGAAGAAGAAGAAGAAGGAGAGAGCGTGTGCCGAGGCGCCAGACTATCTTGCCTTTCCCTACCTGTTCCTCATTCTTGAACTTACTGGTTGTTTAACTGAATGGAATGAACACAACTCGACGCGACGCGCTTGGCATGAGTGGGACTGTCAGGTCGTTTGACTTTTGATTATTAATTCTTCCATAACTCTGGTCTTATCCTGATTTTTATAGTCTGGGATTGACGGTTCTGTCTTTGACGCTCGCTACAGTGGTGACCCCTTGACGTTCACGCTTATACCTTTAATTAGTCGACTTCCAATTTGCATACCGCCCGTTTGCCTTCTTTCTTTCTACAATCATGTCCTCTACGAATTCCAATGATCCCACTTCTTCTCTCAGTGGACTTGTTTCTTCCCTCCCAGACTTTTGGCAACATGCGCCAGAGCTTTATTTTTTCCGTATTGAGGCGACTTTTCACTCCGCCAAGATTACACGTGAAACCGACAAGTTTTATAAGCTGGTCGAGGCCCTCCCTCCCACCATTCTTTCTCAAGTGCATACGCTTCTGAGAGATCCCCCGACCGATGCTCCTTACACCAAGTTAAAGGCTGAACTTCTTCGCCTGACATCAGTCTCCGATCGGCAGCGTTATCACGCACTAGTAAAAGAGGAGGCCTTAGGTGATCGCAAGCCGTCGGAACTCTTGCGTCGCATGCGTTCTCTGGTTGGGAACATGAAAATCGACGACAGGTTCTTTAAAGAGATGTTCTTAGAACGTCTGCCGACGTCTGTACAAACAATCTTGGCCTCTGACTCCGACGACCTAGAAATATCAAAGTTAGCGGAGATGGCGGACCGTATGATGGAGGTTGAGCGTTTGTCATCCCCGACGATTGCTCAGGTGTCCCAGCCTCTCAACGTGTCCACCTCTGACCTTGCTGAACTAAAGACGCAGATTGCCCAGTTGTCAGCGACTGTTGCCGCTTTGCAGCTGCGCCGATCCCCCCGTCCCTCTCGACGTCCCTTCGGTCGTGACCGTCGTCGTTCCCGCTCTCGCCCCAGGACCGCCAACCTATGTTGGTATCATGTCAACTATGGCGATAAGGCGCGGCGCTGTGTCCCACCCTGCTCCTTCAAGTCCACACAGGGAAACTCCTCGGCCGGAGAGTAAACGCGGCCGAGCTCTCTGGCAACTCTACGGGTCGCACATTTTACGTGAGTGATAACACGAGTGGCAGGCATTTTTTAGTCGACACTGGCGCTCAGATTAGTGTTATCCCTCCCACGCCAGCCGACCGACGTTGCCCAAACCATGGTCTTTACCTTCAGGCCGTAAACTCATCCCCCATTACAACCTTTGGATTTCGATCCCTCTCCCTGGATATCGGCCTCCGGCTATTATTTCCCTGGATATTTGTGGTTGCTGATGTTCCCACTGCTATCCTTGGTGCTGATTTTTTGGCCGCCTTTGACCTTCTGGTGGATTGCAGACAACTTCGCCTCCATGATCGCGCAACTACCCTCACTGTCAAAGGATTTCCTCCATCCTCAGTTTCTAAC